TTAGATGATGTCTGCCTTTGAATAATTTATTTTTCTTATAAGGGAAATGAATTAAAATTGGGCTTACCGCCAGTAGCGCATGCCTCTATTCTTAGCTATGCAGAAGGCTGAGATCCAGAAGAATGAAGTTCAAAGCCAGCCAGGGCTGAAAAGTCTTTGAGACTCAAATTAGCTAGCAGAAATGAGGGCTGGAAGGGTGGGATCAAGTGGTAGAGTATCAGCCAAGGAAGTTCGAGTCCCTGAGTTCAAACTCTAAAACTGCTCCTCTCAAAAAAAGAAAGGATCATAGCCAGGTGCCGGTGGCTCACGCCTGTAATCCTAGCTACTCAGGAGGCTGAGATCTGAGGATCACAATTCAAAGCCAGCCCGGGCAGGAAAGTCCATGAGACTCTTATCTCCACCAGAAAATCAGAAGTGATGCTGTGGCTCAAGTGGTAGAGTGCTTGACTTGAGCTGAAGAGTGCAGGGACAGTGTCCAAGCCCAGAGCTCAAGCCCCACAACCGACAAAAAAAAAAGGATCAATTAGTTGTAAATAGCCCTGCCCTGGGACCACCCTGCATCTTGTATATATATTTATCTAATTTGGGGAGGGGAAGGGGAATAACAAAGTGCTGAAACAAGGACATAGAATGACCCATTGCAACAATGATACTCACAAGACACTATGTTGGAAACGAATTTTACAACTTCTTGGGGGTGGAGGGGTAGAAGTGAAGAAGGTGGAGGAGGGAAGAAAGGTAGGTACTCGTTGCCTTACTCAGGTGACTGTTACCCCTCTGTACAGCATCTTTACAATAAAAATATATATTCAATTAAAAACTTTTAAAGGGGGAAACAAAACAGATTGTACAAGTTAGCCTTTTCATTACTATGTACCCCAGCCCTCTTAAGGATATTGATGACCAAATAGTTTATTGTGCTCTTTAAAACTTTTTATATAGATTATCCCTTTGAACCAGACATTGTTAGAAGGGTTATATCTGTATGATGAAGAAAGATGAACAAATTTGGTTCTGTGTCATGTAATTTAACTAGTCATTGATTAAAGTGAATTTTACAAGAATTACTGGTAACAATAATGACATTGTTATGAGGAATAATATGTTTTGCTACTTTTCAAAAGCAGAACTATATACTAGCGTCTTGGTATGTATTACTGAATTGACTATTGATTAAAAAAGAAAGGAAAGGAATAGAGAATTTGTGCAAAAGTGACATAGGTAGCAAAGTAAACACATTATATACCAAAATGTCCCATTTCAGAGGGAAAATCTATTGTTTTCCAAACTGATAGCTTTACTACTACCAACTGTTAGGGAAGTAATTTATAATCAGGCTCTCTGTGAGTAAGGTATCTTGCAATCTTCCCTTGTGTTATAAACCACCAAACATCAAGTGAGTTTTAACAAGTCCGTGGTGAGGCTTTGTAATTCCGGAGCTGGCTAGCAGATGAGGGCGGCCTGGGATGAGCTCTCATTAGCTCCTTTCTACAAGTAGAGAATTGTGAGGTAAACTTAGGAGGTCTGTTGCTAGTTCAGTTCTATTTTTATAAAAACTGCCTCTCTCTTTAACCATGGCTTTGCCTTGTTTGAGGTTTTCTAATTACTGTTCTCTTTAAACAGTTGAACAAAAGAGGTGGCCATTCAACATGTCAGTTTATGAGCGCAATGCATCTTTATCAGTGTCACTCCTTGCATCGTTTTCCTCCATCCCTGCCAACCCCACCCATTCTTTCAGTGTTCCTAGCTTCCTAGGATATGCATTAGCTCTTCTCCTCCCCTGACCCTTCCCTCTCTTCATTCATGTACTCCTTGCCTTGTGTTCGTAGTGATCTCATGGTCAGCTGATCCCTTGAAGTTCCCTTATGGTTTTTCCTTCATTTGGATCCTAACTGAGCTTGATAACCTCTGGTGATACACAAGGCAATGCGTGCTAGGCTGGGTTCTTCATTCCCTCCCTCACCTGACCCTCCAAGTTTGACAGCCCAACCACCATCTGCTCCAGAACATGGGCACACCCATTTCTGGTACTGAGCCCTCTTTCACCTGTAGGATTTTATTTCAGCCCAAAATGATATGAAAAGGAACATTACTCATTCATCTATCAGCCTCCAAGAAATGTGATTTCACCTTAGACATGCCATTTAAAATGGAGGAAAGCAAGGCTGATTTTTTCCTGCATTTAAAGTGGCTATAATAGTAACAAATAAAGCAGAAACATCACATACCCTAACTTAAAAAGAAATAACATCACTTTATTTTATTGATCTCCAACTAAGAGCTGCCCGGTGCCTTGCATTTGAAATGTCACATAGGTTGCTTTCCCCCTGTCTCTTCTCCAGCCTTGGGCCAGCACTTGTATGTAAGCTGCCTCTACACAGCCCTTTCTTGCTATTCTCTAGGAGTTGGGGTGCCCTGCTAATAAATTATTGGTGCAAAGAAGATGCAAAGAGGAAAATCTGACTGTGTGCCTTAGGCAAGAGGCCTCTGATCCCTTAGGCTCCCTACAATAATGGAACAGGAACAGGTCTGTTGGTAGTACAGGGACAAGGAGTGGTTCACAGGAAGATACCAGAGAAGTGACACTTCAGAAGAATCTAGAAAGGACAAAATTATTGTGAAGTCACCACGACAAAGTCTGTCATTACACTTAGAGAACTGCAAACAGATTGGTTTCGAAGCAAGTGAGAGCCTAAGCAAGCTAGTGTGGCAGACAGGAGGTTCCTTTAAGCCACATGCAGAAGCTGCTATGATCCAGCTCTGTGGTTCTACTGCAAGAGTTTCATGGCAGATCTATATGTTTTGTGTACAGAGGAAGGAGAGGCGAGATGAATCTGATGGTTACAGTCACAGCCTGTATGAACACCAGGCCTCTGGGATTCTGGTTCAAGGCTCTTTGCCAACTCCTTCCCCTGAATTCCCAAAAGTTGAGAAAAGTTTGAGGGGGGCTGTGGCCATGTGACATTGCTGATTTAATGCGATTTATTATCTCCTCCTTAGTACTCCTATACCCAGAGAGGAGGAAAGAAAGGAAACAGGATAGGGATGCAAAGAAGAAGGTGGTACTATTAGATCCAGACCACAGAGAGTTTAAAAGCTGAGATATAGGAGACAGAACCAACAAGCAGAGTAGGCAAAAAATTAAAGGGCAAGCACAGGAGTGGGGGATGGTTAGTGTCAAAGGGAAAAAAAGTATCAGAGAAAGGTGAAACATTCAACACCATAAATGTATAGTATCCCACAATTACAAAATTGGCCCAGGTAAGCTAGTACACTTTCCTAGTGTCCAGCTGTTAGAGCTAAATCACACAAAACCTGTGTGATTTTTCCCAACCACAAGTGCTAGCAACATCCTCTTTCCTGCTGTTGGTCATTTCTAACCATGCCCCTCACCAGTTCTAGAAGTGCAGTAAGTACCTCAAGGGATGGATGGTCTTTGCCTTCAGGAAACAACGTGGCAGGGAGGACCACATTGAAAATCAGCCACAAGCAGAGAAGACAGAGAGTCACAGGAAAGAAGCTGGCATTTGCCAGCTGCTGACATGTGCCAGGCCCAATCACCCCTACATACCTGAGTTAGATCTTCTTGTCTCTGTTTCTCAAATGAGGACACAGAGGCTGAAAGGTTAAAAGCTATGATGAAGGTTCTGCAGTTGGAATGTTGAGCCCTGCTGTGCTAGGAGCTCTAACAGACCATCTGATTGACACACATACTAAACATCCAAAATGGCTTTGACTCCCCGTATCCAAAGTGCTTCAACATCCCAACCTGAGTACCAGTATAATGCTACCCCCACGTAGACAATCTGCCACCTGACATTGTCTGACAGGTTAATCAATATCCAGGCATTCTAAAATTACTCTATAAAATGATCTCCACACTATGTCTAATATGCATAGGAAACATAAATAGATTTTGTGTTTAGACTTGGGTCTCATCTCCAAGATATCTCATTATTATGGATATGCACATATTAAAAAATGTAAAAACTATCCAAAATCTGAAATACTTTTAAGTCTCAAGATGTCCTGATAAGGGATATTCAATTTGTAGATGATAAAATGCATTTGAGAGTAGTATGAAGCCATGCATTTAGAACTGATGAGATGATCTTTGCTGTTGTCTGGAACTCTGATATAAACAGTAAGTTTTCTCAAAGAGAAAACTGAGATCACCCCTTCAACAGACTGCTGTGTGTTTGCTGGTTCCAAAACCCAAAGATGCCCATTTGGGAAAATGGTAGCTATCACTCAGCTTTGTCTCCCTATCTGCCTTTGATTGACCAACATTGCATTTCAGGTCCTCTTTTAACATAAAGGTCAATCAATCATTCACAAAAGAATGATAGCAGAATTATATCTACTTGATTGGTTTCTATGCATAAGAATCATGCTAACTACCAGTGGCTCAGACCTGTAATCCTTGCTACTCAGGAGGTTGAGATCTGAGGATTGAGGCTCAAAGCCAGCCCAGGCAGGAAAGTCTATGAGACTCCTATTTCCAATTAACCACTCAAAATCTGGAAGAAGAGCTGTGGCTTGGGGATAGTAACTAGCCCCAGAGTTAGCACAAAAAAAAAAAAAAAAGTTTAAATCAAAGAAACTAAAGTTTCTTCACTTCCTATTTTCTGACAGAGATATTTCTGTCTCCTCTATCTAGGCCTGGCTCTTGTTCCACATAAATCCAGCTCTTCCATAAGCTCTCATCTAGCTAATGCCTTGGAGAGGAGGAGAGCCAAATTGTTCAGCATTGCATTTTTTCATTTAAATTGATGGCCCCTGTGAAAATAACTCTGCTTGATTAAGTGATTGGAAAGTTTCTCTGTGTGTGTGTGTGTCTGTGTGTATCTCTGTCTGCCTTCCTGCCTGTCTGTCTGTCTGTCTGTCTCCCCCATTGATATGCTATAACTCAATGTAGGCAGTTGTTTTTATGGTTGGAACTAAATCCTGATACTGCTCATCAGAACTAAATCTTTTCAATTTTTTTTTTCTCGTTGCAGGGTCGTCATGTTAAAACAGGCCAGCTTGCAGCCATTAAGGTCATGGATGTTACAGGGGTAATGTATCTTTATCTTCTCATCTCAATTCTTATGGATTGGTAGCAAAGACATTAGTCATCGAAAAAAGTGACTTTCCTGGGGGAAACAAAATCCTTCCTAAACGTGAAAGATCTTTCCCTACTTGGGCTTCTTTGGATATGTAACTGCTGGCCAAGGAGACTGTACATAAATCACTCTCATTAAATCCAGGACCTCTACACTGCCTTGGGCAGTTAGAATGAATTATGTGCGCTCATAATTTGCATACACATAAGCATGGGTATTTGCATATGAATAAAGAACAAGAATTTCAAGGTATTAGAAGAATAATACTCAGATTACACAGGAAGGATGAGTCTGAATGGGCTCCCCAAGGTCTGCCTAATGCTGGGGTCCACGGAGTTTAAATAGGTCCAAAATGCTAAGTGTTTTCCAAAACAAAATATTTGTGACCAAATCACATAACCACAAACTATCATTATTATTATTACAGAACCATAATGAACCCTGTTTCTGCCTGGGTGATCAAAAGCAATCTAAGGAATAGACTTTATGTAAAACGCAATCTAGTGCTTTCAATCCTTTTTGCTAGATCTATTTAAAATACTTTAATGCCTTTTCAAGAGTACAAAGCAAAAATCAGACTTGAAAGGATTCACTGGACATCAAAAGCGTGCTAATAATTCCCTATTGTCCTGGGAATTTTTTAAACTAAGATATCTGTCTGCTCTACATGAAAGATAAAAGATAAGAGTCTTCATTTAGTCCCAAAATGGAGGCCTCGGTATAAACATAGGATAAAGAAGGAAACAAAATGCAGGGGGGGAGGGCGTGGCTTCAAGTGGTAGAGCACCTACCTGCCTACCAAGGGAAAAGTCCTGATTTCAAAGCCATGCACTGCAAAAATTTTTTAAAACTTTAATTAAAAAAATTAAGGGCTGGGAATGTGGCTTAGTGGTAGAGTGCTTGCCTAGCATGCATGAAGCCCTAGGTTCAATTCCTCAGTACCACATAAACAGAAAAAGCTGGAAGTGGTGCTGTGGCTCAAGTGGTAGAGTACTAGCGTTGAGCAAAAGAAGCTCAGGGACAGTGCCCCCCCTGCCAAAAAAAATTAAAACCCACAACTAAGAAAAACCATACAAGCTGAGCACCAGTGGCTCATGCCTATAATCCTAGCTACTCAGGAGACTGAGATCTGAGGATCACAGTTCAAAGCCAGCCTGGGCAAAGAAAGTCCCTGAGACTCTCATCTCCAGTAAACCACCAGAAAACCAAAGTGGAGCTGTGACTCAAGTGATGAGCCCTAGCCTTGAGCCGAAGAGCTCAAGGACAGCACCCAGGCCCAGAATTCAAGCCCCATGACCAACAAAAAAAAAAAAAAAAAGAGAGAAAAACATGCAATATAAATATATATTACATGGTAGTTTCCTACCATGATAACATGTCACTGATTTTCACTGGTACCACACATTTATTGTTGATATGAATTCCTTGTCAAAGTACATTCATGTGGCTGAGTATGGTAGCTCATGCCTGTAATCCCTGCTACTCCAGAAACAGAAATTGGGAGGATCACAGTTTGAGGTCAATCCAGGCAAAAAGTTAGCAAAATCCTTTCTCAATAAATAAGCCAGGAATGGTGGTGTATGTCTTACAACCTCAGCTACTATGTGCATAAGTAGAAGAATCACAATCTGAGGCCAGCCCTGGCCAAAAATGCAAGACTTTATCAAAAAAATGAATAAATCCAAAAGCTTAAGGATATAGTTCAAGTGATAGAATGCCTGCCTAATAAGTAAAAGGCCCTGAGCACAAACCCTAGGATCACACACAGAAAAACTATACTCAAGGGCTGGGAAGGTGGCTCAGTGGTAGAGCGCTTGCCTTGCATGCCTGAGGCCCTGGGTTCGATTCCTCAGCACCACATAAGCAAAAAGAAAAAAGCCGGAAGTGGCGCTGTGGTTCAAGTGGTAGAGCGCTAGCCTTGAGCTGAAGAGCTGAGAGAAAGCGCCCAGGCCCAGAGTTCAGGCCCCACGACCGGACCCTCCCCCCAAAAAAAAACTATACTCAAGAAGTTAAATATAACAAGTAAAGGTAAAAGCTTAAATTAATAAAAGTAAAAACTCTGTCTCTATGTATTTATCACCACTTGGATGAAGTTCTAGGGTTTATTTTTACTTTAAGACAGTATTTTAGAGGTTACATTATGTCAGATATTGTAAAACAGATCAATTATTTAATCTCAAGGCAGTTCAGTAACACAGCAGGCCATGTGGACTATGAAACTGCATGTGGTTTATGTTAATTAGGTTAACTTCTGCTTCTTAAAACAGAGGATTAAGCATGATAGAAGTGTCTTGTTCTCTCATGTTAAAAGGAATCTTAAAGATGATGGTGGAAGGAAATGTGGCAATTTGGTAAAGGATAATTGTATCATTTTGTTCAGTAATTTTAATAGCCTCTCTACTTGAGCTCACTTCATGGCTCAAAGTGGTTGTTGGATTTCTGTTTATCACATTCTACATAACAACCCTTCTCCCATAAAAGGGATGTGAGTGAGCAGAAAGACACAGAAGAAACATTCCCAGAGAGATCTGTTTTCTTTGTGTACATCATTATTTCTGCTTTCATTGGGCCTATCTAGCTGCAAGGGAGTCTGGGCAATGCCCCCCTTTTTATTCTGACAAGTTTTCCAGTTAAAAATACAGGTTCTACAAGTTAGATATGAAATAAGAATGGTGAATTAGCAGGGTCTGACACAAAAACCTGATACTGTTAACATCTATATGGAGACCTGTGATAGACATGTGACTCTTTCATAAGGCCCCAAGCTCAGAACAAGTAGAATTTCCTTTTCTATTCTGCTGAGGTCACACTGCTGTGTTTTTCTTGGATTGAATCAGATTTCTACATAATGAGATGCACTTGGCAATTTTACAACTATTGGATGTGGATGCAGTCCAAGACATTCATACTGTACATTAAATTCTGCTGTGTGATTCTCCAGAACTCAAGTTGAGTTGCATTGACATCATTTATCTTAGGTCATAAAGTTGTTTGTTGACACACAAAGTTGGACTTGAAAGCACTAAATAGCACTCTCCTAGTTTCTGGGTTCTGCTGAAGCATTAGGAGTGCTTCAGGAAACCATTCTTTTGATTGTCTAACATCAAAAAGAGAGTTATTTTCCCAGAGTGTGTATTTTCAGGGTAAGGAATGTCAGTTTAACCTTTCTAAATCGGGTTTCATCGGGCAACTAAGACATATGAAAAATTATTTAAGTGTTATTTTCTCCATTCTCTAAGGCTGCTACACAGGTAAAGCCATTGTACATGTAAATGTCAACCCATTAGGACAATGGAGAGGATGCATTGTAGTATTGGAGAATCCCTGTCCAGATGGGCTGGATAAGTACCTGTGATTTAGTCATGCTCTTCCCTGTGACCCTTTCCAAAGGTGAACATGGGTGCATATCCAGAAATCTTTTCTTATTTCCATGGTGACTGATCAGCTGACCATTGTATCTTGTCTTACACATCACAGTCAATGTAAGATTTCCTTGTGAATTCATGCGTTGCCTCTAGTAAACAGTCTCTTCCACTCTGCCACATTGCCTTTTGTATACTATGGAATGTTTCAGATGCTTCTCACCAATTATTATAATTGTGCTCATTATAGCTGCTCTGTTAAAAACTGACATGAATTCTCAAAAGTCATCTTTGTTGATTGTTTGCGCTGACCTATGATGAAGTTTCCACAGCTTATGATAATGAAATTGATGAGACCACAAGCTTGAGATTATGATTTTTAAATTACTAGTTTTATTCTCTATCACTTCCTTTTTATGGAAAACAGCCACAGAGAAAACCAGATACAATGGCTGTATCTTTCCAGTTTTAGAGCTGAGACATTCTTCCAAATTTCCTAACTTTGGCATCAGAACTACTGCTCATGCTCAGACTTGAAGTTCTTTTAGGTCCCCAAGTCATCCTAGAAGGTATCCCATTTTATTGCTTAGTAGGGTTCCATCCTTACCAGACTGTGTTCTCTAGATTTTGTCTACAATTGCCAAGTATTTCTCACAGTGAACTATACAGCCTCAATAGACTGTCAGGGCTTATGGGAGGCTCATAAGATAAGAAGATTATCAGGGCTGCAGCAGGGTTTCAGAGCATAGCCTCTCCGAATCTCCTATTTCTACAAGATCTCCAAGAAGCCCCACATATACCAAAGTTAGAGGCCCGCTTTTCTTGAGCTTTGTAGTTACTCTATTCTGGCTATGGGGTAAGAAGAAACTATGATTCTTTGATAACCTAGGTGATCCCCATTATAATTTATAAACATTCCTGATGGAGAAAAAAAAATGACACCGTGACATGCATATGGGACTTACTAAAACCATCCCCTTCACGATGATGGACTGAGATTATTCAGGGTAATTTTGGTTGTAAGTCTCTCCTTGTACTTATACTCAAACTGATGAAGCTGGAAGGGGAATGCACTGGCTTGTTTTTATTAAACAAATGAACACTCATAAAATTAAGTAGGATCTAGGAAGTCCTTTGGTATGATGAGAATTTTTTCCTTGTCCATCTCTTGGCTCAGCTTTTTGTCCCACCAATAGATCCATGTTCTAATGACTTCATTGTTGTGAGACCCAGCAGAGGACCGGTGAGTGTGAGCCTCAGTTAATCTACTTCAGTCATGACCCAGTCCTGAACCTGCCTGTGATTCTCTCCAGGCAAGTCTGAGTTGGATGCTTGGCTCTGGATTTCACCATAGAGACTGAGAGTTGGGGACAGTTGATTCCTCAAAAGAAAACCCAAGAACTATAGAAAAATAGGAAGGATGCTGCGTGGGCAAAAGCAGGAGAATTCTATTAATATATCATAGCATTAGAGAAAATGTGTTCAAAACTGATTTGGTCCTTCAGTACCATTCTAGTTATAATTTTTATATTCAAAGCCAAAAATAACCACAGTGGTAACTACCATTAATGGAGGGAAATACTATATATA